TAAGTAAAATAATAATATACTAATAATACCTATATACGAGAGTAATAAAAAAAATAATATAAAAAATATATAAATATTATAATGTAATATAAAAAGATAATTAAAATTAAAATCCAGAAAAGGGATTAACTTGAAAGAATTACAGGCTAGAGGTCAAAATTCCAAAGCAATATTAAGGGTTAATTTCGATTTGGGGGGGAAATAACTCTTTTAAAGGTGACGAGGGATCAAAAGGGTAGTTTACCCTATTTTAGATAGAAGCACACGGATCCCCGGCGTATGGGTCGGGTCATCGGGTCTGATGGTTTAAGTATAACAGTCAATTTTTTTTCGAAAACACTTATTTCTCTCTTCTCCAAGCCGAGGGACACCCCCCTCTCTAAACATTTCTCTGAAATGTTCTTCGCTTGAAGAACAAGGGTCACAGTTTCTAGAAACCGGCCTCCAGCGCCGCCTCGCCGCCGTCGTTGAACGGCGCCGGCCGTCGTTCATCGGCGACGAACCTAAAAAAAAAATTGTATTTTTATAAACTATTTTTTACCCACAACTCAAAAATCTAAACGTTTTTTCAAAACTAGCCTCGTAGGAATGCGGATCTAGAAAAGAAGATCTAAAACTCCCTTTTTGTTCCTCGGCTAAAAACGTTTTTTTTTGGGTTCGATCTGAACCAAAAGCGACGGATAAGCACACAAGCAAGGACCACTCGAGCAAGAAGGTAAGCAAAGATATACGTTTCTTTTATTTCCACTTCAAAAAGTTCTTACAAAAACGCCTTGGTTGCTTTGAGTTTCCTAGTATTTTTCTGTTAATTCGTGTAATCCGAATCGTATCAGACCTTTTTTTCTCTCTGTTGATTACATGTATTTATACTAGAAAAAAAATGACAACTTTGAGTCCTAATCAAACTCTATTGTTCTTGTTTGTTTCCGGATATCTCGGGACCGAGAGTCGTGCAGTCGTGGGAGGCGCGGGGATGATGTTTGACCAAGCAGCTGGGATGCGTGAGGCGTAAGGGCTTCTCGAACAAAGCTGTGCGGCGCTAGGGTGAAGCTCTTGGCTAGGGTTTGAGACAACCCTAAATATCTCCATTATGGACCGTTGGATCTCGTCTAGATCCAACGGCCACTGTTGCTGGCGGCTGGAGGCAAGAGTGGGGTTAGGGTTTCTGGAAACCCTGATCTTCTATGGGTTTGGGCTACACGTGATGTTGGTTTTGTTTGTGATGGACCTGTATACAAACATAAAAAATACATAAGTATGTATATTATATAATATAGTTAGTAACTATCATATAATATAACAACATCATTTAAAACCGATAAAATTTAGTGTCTTCATCCCAAAATTCCATTGAAGGTAGGTTTTCAACAATGGGGGGTTCTTGTTTTGTGCAATTTAAGTAGAAGTATATGCATGTTTATTGTCTCCGAGATTGCACCATTTGGTACCTTAATTTCTGCCTCTTGTCCCCCATGGAACAAAACTATGAAAGTTGACAAAATAGAGCATTTTATGCTCAACCTTGCCTCCTACACACCCATGCATCTCGAGACACCTTCTTCTAGCTAGGGATCTCTCGTGTCCCGTGGAGTTTCTTGGACCACTTCTTGTGTTCTTCTTCTTCTCTCTCTCTCTCTCTCTCTCTCTCTCTCTCTCTCTCGTTTCACTCTTTAATCTCTTTAGATATTTCTCGATACTCATATGGTGCTCGATTATCGTCTATAAAATTCGAACGTAAAATCTTATTTAAGGAACATCGAATTCTATATCATTGGATAAGATAGGGTTTGATGTCTTACCTCCTCTTAAAACGATACTCACTGCTCTCAATATATCCATTGCTTATGGGGTTTGTTGCTTGCTTCTTGTCATTTGATTCCCTTTGGCTGAATTCGTGAAATTGCCCTTCTACGCTTCTACTTTTGTAGGGAAGCTATAGACTCGATCCTCACATATATATATAAATAAATACGGTCACTGACTCTTACTAGATTAAATGATAAAAAAATATTATAATTTTTTAAATAAAATTTTAAATTTAAATTTTTATGAATAAATGAAAATACGTTTAAGAGAATTTAATTTATTTAGTTTAAAGGCTGACTTAATTCCGAATATAAGTTTAATTATGATTTTAAACCTTTTACCATGCTGAAATTCGGGACCAATCTTCCAAGTTAATTTAGTATAATTTAATATATTTACTTTAGTAATGGTATCATTAGACTTTGGGGATTTGACTAGAGTTTAGGGAGATTCTATTTGCCTCGAATATTCTATTTTTTCACCTACCGCTCGATTCGATCTAGACTTAGAGAAGTTTTAACCGATTCGAAATTAGACTTGATTTTTAGGGTAAAATCTCTCACCGGACTCAATTTATAAGATTTTATTTTTATTAGCTAAAATAATTACTTAATTGAGTACGTATACGTTTGTTATTAAAATTATCTCTAAATATACGATGAATAATCATATTATCATTTTGAGTCAAGTAATATTGAATTTTTTTTACTCTGAAATTAAATTCGACTTGATCCAACTTATTATAATATTCCATGAAAAATTCAACACGACATAAACTCAAGTTTCTAAAAAAAGAAAAATTAACTTTATAAAATCAAATCCAAAAAGAGTTTATGGAATTTATATCCAATGTGAATGATAAAGCTTTGAGGGAAATGGTGGGGAGCTCTCTCTCTCTCTCTCTCTCTCTATATATATATATATATATATATATATATATATTCTTTCCTTTTACGGTAGGTGTTTGGATGAAACCCTAAATTCTGCTTTAACCCATAAATTATTGGACCTTAAACCCAAATTTGGGGATTATTCCTTTTTGCTTCTTTGGTCGACCATCATCATTTGCAGCTTTGGAGATACGGAATCAAATGTGTATGCAAATGGTTTTAGTTTTTTGCATGAGGTCATGGGGGTAGAAGTTCCATCTTCATATGTATGTTGTATTAATGCAAGGATAGTGTGAGGGAATCTTCCTTACCTTTTAGGTTTTATTCAAAAATAGATACTTAAATTATATTATTTCATTTAAGTACTTCAAATGCTTTCTTATTGGAGTAGGTATCTAAAATGTTTTCTTAAAATGGGATTTAGAGCCGGCCTAATCTTATAAGGTCATTGAAAAAATGTCGGGTTTTGTGAATGGTATGGTCGAAACAAGTTTGAGTTTAGGATGGAAATTTTTCAATTTGATCCGACCTGACCTCATAAAATAATAATAATAATAATCTATATATATCTAAAAATAACTACAATAATACTCCTATTTATATTTGTTTTCAATAAGGTCCCTATTTTCCCTAATAAAAAATAGATTTTTATAGATATATGTGTTAGATTAAATGTAGGTTTTTATCCACAAATTAGTTCAGAATTGAAAATGATGGAAAATGAAGATATATAATATTAAGGTCGAATCGAATTTGAGTAGACTAAAATACGATCCGATTCGACTTGACTCGACTTATACACATTCCTAATCTAAAATGTTCTTTTTCAAAGTAAATGCTCAAAATATTGTATTTTCATCTAGATATCTAAAGTGGTTTTAAATCAATGTCATATGACAATTTTTAAGTACTCGAATTATAAAAAGTGGTATATTTTATATACCTACTTTAACAAAAAAAAAATATTTTAAATACTTGGACCAAAAAAACTTATACTTTATATACTTTATAAGTATCTATTTTTAAAATAACATACCTTCTTATTAAGGATGAAAAAATCATAAAAATTATGGTGTTTAGAATATTTTATGTTCACATGTTAAAAAAATTATAGTTAAAATCATAAAATAAAATATCGAGAGATAAATTGAGTTTGGTAGCAATAGGTGATTTGGTATAATAAAAAATTTGCATAGTAATAAAATTACCATCAACGTTTACGTTTAATCACTTTGTCTCTTATTATTATTACTTTTTGAATATTTTAGCTTTTAACGTTTTATTTTGAAGCAAAATACTTCTGATTCTGGTTGGATAAAAATCATTAGTTGACTAACAGTCAATGATTCCTATGCACGTGACAGGTCCACATGTGATGCTACGTCAATTTTTTTATAAATTAAACTATAATTATAATTAATTACATATACACTTATAAAATATATTTAAAAATATTTTTTATTACGTGGCATCACATGTGGGTCTATTACGTCAATAAGAATCATTACAATTAGTCAACTAACAATTTTCTTTAATAAAAGAATATTTTATTCCGAAATAAAATTTTCCAAAACTAAAATACTAAAAAAAAAAGACAAAGTCATCACTTCACACCAAAATATGAAGAAAAAGGAAACATATAGTTGCGTTATAGGCACATCCCAATAGGCCGAAAGATAATAATGTTTGATATGGCATCGCTCATGAAGTAAACTACAAATAATGACGTGGCATGGGCTGGCCCAGGCCCAGACCCCACCACTTTAATTATTTCCTCCATCATAACATCATCAATTAATAATAATATTTTGATTTAAACTCGATAAATCTTAATCAAATTCCATTTTATGGAATTATTTTTTAAAAATATTTGGGTCCAAATTAAATTTTATAAAGGATAAAGTCGAATAAATTTTAGAATGAAAATCTTCAACCCTAAATAACGATGTAATTTTCTTTTATATACTTGATAATAATTACTCTAAATTTTTATATTTTTTCTAATTAGATACCTAATTTATCGAATGTATAATACTCAAATCGATTTCAAAATTGTCAAAAACTCGTCAATTTTCAGGTACAAATATTTGTATATGTGAAAAATCTCGTCAAATGACTCATCCTCTAAAATCAGGTATATAACCCTAATTGATCTAGATTAGTCAAGGTTGGACCGAACGCGACCAAAAAAATTGACAAAAATAACAATAATTTTAAACCTTCACATTTTTAGTATAAAGCATACTATAAAATTTGGGAGATCATACTATTAAACAAATAATTAAAATCACTACAATTGTTATGAATACATTAAGAACAAATACGTGGTATTAAATAGATAATTAAAATCAATACAAGAATCGATGCACGTTGCATGTTAGTGTTCAACGTGATAGTTGGCGTCACTAAATTGTTGATCATCTCCATCGCTACTGATGACATGTTGGTATTATAGACATTTTATGTCATTCCAGTAGGGTTTCCACCAGTGGTTTATACAATGGGTAACGTAGTTCCATGGTCCAAGTAACAGCTATTCCGACAAGTGAACAAAACGCCGGTACGAGTCCTAAACCGTATCTAGTGATCGAGATGTGACCGCTTGCAATGTTTCCGGCGACCATCGGTGAGCTACCTGCATCGAAGTTCATAGGACCAAAGCCATCAATATGAGAAATAGCAAGTGAACAATTATAGAACTTTCGTCTCTTCGTTTTTTATCGAAACACTCGTGTCGACATATTTCTAGACGCAAGGACATGATCCTCAAAGACCTAGACCTACATATATACTTCTATCGGAAACGAATTCGCATATGAAACTCACATCCGAGTTCAAGAAACATATAGAGATCTTTTTTCCCCTAATCTTTTCCCCCCTAAACTGTAACGAAGAGCCACGAACACACAAATAAGACCGAAAACTTACTATGATAGGATTGAAGAACAAATAGGGTGAGTCCACATGACATTTTATCCAAGAAGCTCAATGATCCGCACACGAATGCACAACCATTAAGATCTTGACCGATTAGTATATTCTGCATGCTCACTGCGGTCACCTACATGGTTTAAAAATCGGAATAAGCGATTTTAAAGCAAAACAGACTAGACGGAGAGCTAAATTTCCCAACATACCGTCACTAATGCGTTTGCTATTCCAATAAATATCGATATGGCATACACGAAAAGACTCATGCTTTGTGGTAAGAGGACAATCGCTATGCCGCAAAAGATCCAAAGAATTCCTCCAGCAGTATAATAAGCTTTCAGGCGTTTTTCATTCCATGCGATCTCCTATAAGGTGAATGCCTAAAGCTTAAGCATTGACAAGTTAATATAAAGCTTTTTGAAAACAAAACCGAGTTTTACGAGGCAGACCTGAAGAAGAAGAGATACTGTGAAGCTGGAAATATAGATAATGGCAGGAACCTAACCGGCCAATAAGACAAGATATTAAGCCTAGCATTCATCTCCAAAGCATACTGATGACTAGAAATAAAACTAATGTCAACAAATTTCATTCACATACCAAAGCTTTAGCGGAGGACTGCACCATGCGCAAATCATCAATTACATAGAATGCAAGATATGCCTTCGCAAAACGAAACCATCTTTAAGTTTAAAATCCGTAATATTGGATTACTTTTAATCAGTTTCCGCATTACTGAAATGAATGTTAAGCCTCGGTAATCAAAGAAAAAAAAAGTATGCTTACCTGTGAAACATTAAGTGCTAGTCTCGTAAGCGTATAAACAAGAGCAACTTGATAGTATAGAATTTTCAAAAACCAGTAGGTCCATGAAATCCTAGCAACAATATTTCCATGTATACCCGTCTTTGAACTGCATAATAAAAATATGAAATTTCTTAGAGGTGAGGAACTAGTTACAACAGCCTAACCTGCAAAATACGCAGGGGAATTCTGTTAGAAGGTAAAGCTCACCTCGGTTCATTTGTTCCGAGATGAAATATGACCACAAAGCAACATCCAATGAATATTGATAGGTATGCAATCCAACGATACTGCTCGACGGAGGCCAATACAATGATTATGTCCAAATATAAAATACCGAAGGATCATGTCTTCCGTAAAAAATGTACCTGATTTTCAATATCTGTAGGTGTTTTTGCTTTGATGACTTCGAATATTATAAAAGCAATTCCGTATAGGCTGAGATTTGCAACCTAGATTTAACAGGAAATTTAGCATCAACCATACTGCTCATGACCTATGAAACAAACCAATAGGTGAGAGGATTTGACCATTGTAAAGGCATTCCGACAACTTGCAAGCACTACTCTGCTCGTTGAATTCAGAGTGATGCAACTCACCATGGACCTACAACAGAAAAAGTAAGATACAGTATATGAACACTTCATTAAAACTCTTCATATGAACATACAGAAAAAATTTCATCCAATCCAATCTTATTTTTTCCGAATGTGTGAGCTTGCACTGCTAGGTCCTTCTATTACTAAAGCTTTTCCTTCTCTATCTCTCTGCCTAGAAGAATTAAATATGATGTCTAATGCATGTTTCAATGGGAAGATAAATGAAGCTATAGAAACATTACATGTGCGAAACTTGAGTAGCAGCCCAGCCGATATTAAAAACTGCGGCAAACGTACTATATGAAACGGTCTCCACCATTGACGTAAAAGAAGAAAAGACTTTACAAGGTAAACAACCACCAAAAACTGAAGAAAATGAAACAGCAACCAAGATAGATCCTGCACCATGCCATATTTTGAAATGTCCAAACCTGTCGATCTATCAAGTAAATGATCAAAACCATTGCAATAAGTCATTAGGGGTGAAAAAAGAAGAAAAACAATGAGCATAAAATGAAAATTCTTTCTAAAAATTAGAATTATAGTTTAATTTCAATCACTTTACACACACGACAAGCTTGCAAAACTTGATCCAACTGCTATGAGATGAGTAGTATTAAAACAAAGATTTGAAATCAGTTACCAGTTCACCAAAACATATGGTGGCTAAACCATCCGCTATCTGTCCGGAAAGCATGACAATGGCAGCATCCCTACACAAATCAAATAAAAATACATGGCACATGACATCTACAAAAAAGAAAATTAAAAAAAAAGCATGAAGATGGAATTTTCTTAATGATTTGCATGAATGGCAAGGATGTGATCTATATTACTAGATTAAAGCTTACTATACCAAATTCTATGCGAGATAAGATAAACAATATGCATTTTCCGGATCATTTTTTATTCAAAGCCATTTAGATAAACAAAGAAAAAAGTGACAGATTAAAGAGGGAAAATATAATGCAAAGCAATTACGAAGGTATAAATTTCAGACATGGTAGAAAGACATATACCTAGAGGAGAGCCCTATCTCTGTTAAGAACAACAGAAGATAAGTAAACCAACAAGCAGAAGTGATGTCATTTAGCATGTGACCAACACCATAACAGTAAACAGACCATCTTCCAACAGGCTTAGAAAATGAATCATCCTCGATGCTGTTACTCATTACAGTCAAGGAGGTGATGTAAACCTCTTCCAAATGTGCAAAGAGACGTAGTTTGTGATCAACCCAAACCTACAAGGAAAATATTCATGGTTGAGATAGCTGAAGAAGAAAGTATGAAGAAGACAGGTGAGTCATGCTCTTTTGCTAATAGTGATACGATGCATCCAAGACTCGGTATTGCAAACTATGACTAGCATATAGGACTGGGACACAAGGTCGCAAGCTTCATGATATCAAATTTCCAAATAACACACGGTACAAGCAGAACAATTACTAAAGAACTAATGCAGAACAAATACATGTAAATCAAAGAACTGTGTCTTTTAGACCGTATTAATCATTTTGTTCTCCATAATCTTTACCAAATCACTGATTTCTATTACACTTTCCACTGTTTAGCATATACTTAATCCTGTCATATCATTGAATTCTAATTATCATCCATCCATTGAGGTTTTTCTAATTTTTTGGAATATATATTTTAGTCATCCAAATCAGGCAAGCATATGATCTTCTAAATCTCAGTTGAGACAAATGGTTCAATTAATCATATCCCCTGTTATATTGAAATACCATGAAGATTGCTACAAAATTCTATGTTACTAGGACTTTACAATTTTCCTTTAACTACTTGTGTCCAACATGTGGATATAAAGATATAATTTGATCCTCCAAATTCATGGAAACCCTAAAAAAATTCTAATCAAATCCGTATCAAATACATACACTTATCCGACACTCGAACTCCGGTCCAATTAACACAATTAACATAACTATAATTCACCCTACAAAATGCAACTCAAGGTGGAAGTATCAAATCTAGACTTCTAATCTCAAACCCTGTTCCTGCTTCTTAGAGCAAATAAATTAGATCATTCCAAAAACCATAAGAACAACCCCAAAACCATCCCTTCAAGCTTATGTTTTTGCCCATTGGAACTCACAGCAGCCATCATCCCCAACCATCAATTTCAAACAAACCATTCATCTAACACATCTAGAGAGGAACATGCAAAGAATAACATCAACAAGGACTAACAACAAGCAAGCTTTCATTGAAAATCAACCATGAGTGTTTCTGGAATTCAATGGAATAACGTTTTGCTTGCAAACCCAAAGCAAAAAGAATACATACCGCAGACCCAAGGAAACAAAGGAAGGATACGATGTCTTCGAGTTGTAAGATATACACAGATAGACCAATATTAAACAAAGAAGGAAGAGGAGGAGGAGGATATGAAAACTGGAAAACCAAGAAGGGAAGTGAAAAGACAATTGCATACTATTGGAGGTGAATGTCGGCTTGTCTTGTTAGGCGTTAGCTTGGTTCTGGGAAACTTAGAAAACTGGGAAACCATTTGAAAATTGTGTACTTTCTAATAAATACAGGGATAATTGCATATACGTGAACCTTGGAAATTGAAGTACAATCCAAATTCTTGGATAAGAGGATTTTAGACCATAGAAGTCGGAAAAAGAAAGGTTTATGTGGGAGGCGTTTACATAAAACTATAAATTTGGGGGTCAAAGCTAGAAAATCTCATTTTAAAAGAGCTTAAATTTAATAATTATTTTAGGAGGGGCAAAATTGCAATTTAGACACCTAACTAAAAAGTTAAAATGCTTAAATTAAATGTTAATACTTACGGTCGGTAGCAAATGAGTCATTCTGATCGTGTTTGGATCAGATCATTTAGGTTGAGTAATTTCAAATCTAGATTAAATTTTTCGGATCGGATATGGTTCGAATTTGGTTCGAGTATATGGTAAATCAGATCGGGTCGGGTATTGGGTCTGGTGATTATTGATTAGTTGTCTACCGATTCCGATCAATATCGAATTGTTTATTTTTTGATCGGGTCAATATCGGGTCGGGTCAATACAGATCGATTGATTTTTGGGTCGTTTAATACCGAATCGATTAGATTCGGGTCGGTCAATATTAGATTGGTTGATTTTCGCTTTAGGTCAACCTTTAGATCAGATCAATTCGGGTTGAATTGATTATGAGTCTAATCAAATTAAGTATATATAGAATAATTGATATACTTGTAAAAATATGATTTCTTATTTGTTAATTTTCATTTAGGTTTAATTTCAATTACAATAGTTTAGTATTTTGAATTAAACCGCCATTTAGAGATAATAAATCGATAATTTGACATAAATACGATCTTATAATATGTGTTAGAACTTGTTATCAAAATTTTATATGATCTTATATGAAAAGTTTATAATGAGAACTATTTGATAAAGAAATAATTTTTTATTAAAATTTTATATTCATTTATAAATTTAATATTTTTATTAAATTTTAAAAAAATAATAAATAGTTTTATTTGTTAAGTTTTAGTCCTAATATAAGTAACTTTATATTTTTATTATAAATCTAATATTATTTCTTTTGTTTTAGTTGTTTTCTATTATTTTTATTATATATCTAATATTTTTATAACAATAAAGATAAGTAAACTTTTTATTATTGTTTCAATCTTACAATTAAATTCTTATTTTTTATTCCTCTTAAACTTTCTATTACTATTATATATATAATTTTTAATAAATTATCAATTTTTAAATTAATTTATTATTAAAAATAAATTTTATCGTTTAATAACTTTTATCAACTTCAATTTGTTCGGGTTGCTTTCGGGTCGGGTTAAATTTAGTTTGGGTAATTTCGGTTTGGTTCGGGTTAATTTTGGTTCTAGTTGATTTTGGTTTCGCTGAAATTTTGGATCGGGTATAATTCGGGTCGGGTATCAGATCAAATTTATCATATTCGGGTTAATATAAGATATTAAGTTGAATAAATTAATTTGGATAATCAATTCGGATAAATTTGCCATGTCTAGTCCTACACGATCAGCGTTATCGTTCAAAGTACATCTAAATGAGAGAAAAGTAGAAAACAAGTTATGGAAAGATGAGCAAAAAAGAAAAGAAAAAATGGGGTCAAAATAATTAACCAGGATCAAACCATAATAAATATAAAATTAAACATTGTCAATATATATATATATATATAATCAGAATCAAATCATGTCAAATTATCTATAATAAAATACTAGATTACGGAATCATACTTGAATTAATTGATAGATTTAATCTTTGAGTATATCTTTGGTTGTGATCTTCAAGAAGATAGAGCTCCTTTAAGTATAAACTCTACAGGGATAAGAGTAATACGAGATGTCTATTTGTTGGGATCATAACCCTTTATATAGCTATTATAACTTTGCCCTCATCAAATTATAAATTCAACTTTAATAGTATTTACACTTTATTTATATATCACCTTTGATACCTTATGACTTTATATTATTTAGTTACTTAATTTTTATCATATTTTATGATAACAATATGCATTATAAATATGTATATATAATTATGGATTTCAATCCAACAGAAAATAATAAGAATATATATATATATATATATATATATAGGTGGTACATAATGTAGGCACAAACAGATGATGATATGTATTATAAATTTACCTTCAATTATTGATGAATATATATGTTTAAAAGATTAAGACACTTATTGACAATTTTATTTTATTTTTTAAAGAAAAACATAACAAATTATGACGAAATTGACTCAATATAATAGGCAGACTAATTATTTACTCTAATACGATATTAAATATTTATTTTGAGAACTACGGTATTACTTGGAATTCGTCAGGTTGGCGTGACGAGTTTCAATAAAATATATTTTAAACTGAAACTTATTACTATGATGCGACAAAATTCTAATAAAAATATATTTTTAGAATTTGTCATATCGAAGTAACGAGTTTGAATAAAAAAAGATTATTTGGCCAAATTCGTCATGTGGGCTGACAAGTTTTCCCTGCACTGTGACAAATATATCCCAAATTAATTTTAAAGATAACTTAATAGACC